ACATCTTGACTTGCTAGCGTGTTCGGCGGGTGTTTGCGGGAATCTGCTTGCTCTAGCGTTTTTTGCGGGTCATTCTTGTCGCACGAAACTGCTCATCTGCACCCGCGGGGTCACTTCTGCCATAGATTAGATGTCAACACGGGAACGCAACTGACACTGGAAATGGGGAAAGGGGGCACACATTTCAAATGGGCTACGGTGCAAGTATAGTGGTTCTAGTATCGCGTAATTTCGGTTAAAATGGGGTTAAACACTAAGAATCACTGATAAAGTAGTCTTGGCGTTGGAAGATCCAGGTACATAACATCTTGTATTCACTAGTACTGATTGGTCATTGAAACAACCTATCGATTTATCATTGAACAACCAGTCAGTGGTCAGTGTTAATTTTCACACCTGTCCATTTGTCATTCAAGCACCTGCCAGTGTCCATTTCTCATTGAACAACATGTCTCAAAACCTGGCGATGTTTCTTTGAAAGCCTTATCGGTTCTTCACATGGAAACCTGCCTCTCACCTTGATTCACCTTGAGCCGAAAATTAAAAGCAAAACACTAAGCAAAACCTATCACATATCCAAAAGGATTGAAACTACCTGCGCCAAATCCCAAACCCAATTGGAGTTTCCATCGTTTTTCTATCACAGGATGCTTAGACTTAGACTACTCAATAACAATCCCCAACACATCTGAAGGCCATAGTGAAAGTTGTCGATAAATCTGTTGGTGGGATTGGCGAGGTTGAAATATGGTAGACACGGCCCGTGTGGTGTGTGAAACAAACCGATCTCATCTACTCTTGGACCTTTTGGGTCATCAATAATAAAAACCATGCACCTTCTTGACCATCCGGATGTTCAGTGTGGTTCAGTTACTAGTTCATCACCAAGCTGGAAAAAAACACACACCAAAATCCACCTCCCTTAAGACGTTCCACACTCATTGCCGTTCACCGTGTTCACCATCCCATGATCGCCCATTCATCACCAGGGTGCTTCAGGGACGCCCTTGATGCGGCCGAAGAACCTCGGCGTCGTGTGCGTTTTGTGCTGTTGGATGCTCTTGCTGATGGTCCGCGGTTCCTTAAAAGAAACAACGCTCTTGCTGATGGCCGCGCATCAAGTGCTCCTTGCCAGTCAAGTGCTCCCAAAGTGGATCAACCTGAGACGGGGTCGGTGAAACCGGTTTTCCCCATCGGTTTGAGCTGCTGAAGGGAACAAAGCCACGCCCACGGAGACACCTCTAAGCCACCCGGTCGGTAAGCCACCCCCAACTGAGAAGTGTCAAGATGTGTCAAATGTCAAGAGATGTTCTGCGCAAAAAGGGTCTCACACACACAAACACACACACACACTCTCTCTCTCTCTCTCTCTCTGTCTCTCTTTCCCCTCCCTCTCTCAACAGCACCTGACAGTCGAGCTGTCCGCCACTGGCGGGTCTCGAAACAATGCTCGACGGGACGCTAGACGCAGAGGCCCGCAGGACGCTGGCATCGTTACTACAATGCGAATGGAATCACATCGGGATGGAATGCGATAGATGTTATTAAAAGAACAATATTAAATATACATATAAAAAGAACATATAACTACATCCATAATAAAACCAAATTAACAAGATATGAACAAATGAATTGTTATGAATTGTTGTATTACCCCGTATACCTCAGAATCCAAACAAAAAATCCGAGGGTCCTAGAACTGAGCAGGCCCTTGAATTTTTGTAAAGGTTAGATGTGCAAACAATGCGCATTCAACGGAATCGTTGTGTTTGAAGCCAATCTGACGCTGATCTGAGCATCCCTATAGTTCACTAAGACTAATACATACTGTAATTTAACTGTCCGTGGCAGGCTCAGCCCGCTTGCTTGCTTACTCTTGTATGCAACACTTGGCGCTGCTCTTGCATCACTTGGACATGTCTTGCATGACACATGGATGACATTTGAGCTCTATGCTCATTATTACTCAAAACCTCTCTTTCATTCAAGTGAAGTGTCGTACGAAAATGATAAAATTGGTTACGGTTGGTCTTACGCTTGCTCGCATTTCGGCTTACGTGCCATGCAGGGGACATGAATTGAAGTGCTCACGCTTACGCAAAAAAAGAGATAAACTTTCAGCACCACACCTAACTTGACCTGACGCACTTGAAAACAAAAGCACACACTGTGGCAACAAACAAAGCTTACGCACTATGCTTACGCTAGTGCTTCAGCCAATAAAATGTGTACCTAGGTCCTTTTTTGCTTACGAACGGTGTCCTTTTGTCTAGGCCCTTACAACGAACCCCGCGTTATTGGATGATGACTCATGCACCAGAAAGAACATGGGGGTTGATACTAGCAACCTCAGCAACCCGCTTTGGACTGTCAACTTCAGTATCTCATGGGCCACTGGATGCCACCCGATGCCCAGGCTGGGAGCGATTGCCGTCTCACTGGGTCCACTGCCTGTGGGCAAACGCCCAAATTTCGATAGGCCTCCCGCGACGCACTCGGCGCGGCCCCCCCCTCCCACGCACGCGCGCGCGCACATGAGCGTCCCCATGGGTGTCGGGGGAAGGCGATCCTCAGACTGTCGGGACTCCACCGGGGATCACCGAGGTGAAGTCGCAGGTGCCTGTAAGTTCGTTTGGGATGCAGAACATGGTCCAAGCGTCTTCGAAGTTGGAACATCTATGTTGCATGATATGGTGAAATGTTCTCCAGAGTCTTCATCAAGACTCCAGGGTGCACCTCAAACATTCCTGCTTGTGCCACTTAGCCTCTGTGACTAATTACACATCGGAGCGTACCCCTGGCCCTCCAAAGAGCACTTCACCCACACAAACAAGAACACGAATCACTAGCTTGCTCCAAGTTTTCCCAACGAAAAGACATCATGCATATATGAAGAACATGAAAAACATTGAAACAAAAGTAGATTTAAAGCAATCGAACGGTAAACCTTTGGCCCATACAACCAGGTTTCGACGGCCCCCTGCCTCCTCCATGCCTTCGACTGTGGTGATGTCATGGCCTAACACTTGAACCTGACACTCACCGAGACATCAACCGAGACATGAATGGAGTGGCCTGGAGAAAATGAACAGCATTGTTGAATAAAGAACCTGGAGCCCTTTTTGGCCCCTGCAATCGGAGTTTTTCGTGACATGCTTGAACAGAATCAGAATCGATGCCAACTTTGGCGCATGCATGGGATGCAAGCAATTGGAGATTTGATTGGATGCTCGACACGTGGTTCCTTGCAAAAATGCAGGGAAACTTCTTCTGCTTTTCGTGAATGGTTCACCGACACGGCTCCCAGTCCAAACCTGCTATCCCCGACTGGATGACACATGACAACGCCAAAGCGGCAAGTCACTGGATGTGAATCCAACGCTCGAAAAGGAAAGAGCAACAAAATGTTCAACACCCAAACACCCCATGTATGGAACATCCTATATATATATGTTATATATATATACATATTATACACAAATATACGCTTACATTGCCTCCTTGAAACCACCCCAACTGATTGGTCAGTATCATATTCCACTGCCACGTCTCTTTGCCCTGCCTGGCCAGCGGTGGGCGGGCGAACCTCGCCGGTCCTCGGAGCATCGACCGGTCGGCGAAACACGCTCCAGTTGGTGCTGGTCAAACAAAACATGTGTTTACGACGACTACTACGACGACGACGACTACTACTACTACGACGACGACTACTACTACTACCACTACTACTACTACTACCACTACTACTACTACTACTACTCCTGCTACTACTACTACTACTACTACTACTACTACTACTACTACTACTTACTACTTACTACTTACTACTTACTACTTACTACTTACTACTTACTACTTACTACTTACTACTTAGTAGTAGTAGTAGTAGTAGTAGTCGTAGTAGTAGTAGTAGTGGTAGTAGTAGTAGTGGCAGTGGTAGTAGCAGTAGTAGTAGTAGTAGTAGTACAACTACTAGTACAACAACAACAACAACAACTACTACTACTTTTACTACTATTGCTACTACTGCGGATGTGTTTTCTTGAGGATCTTGAACTGGAGATGGTGGTTGCAAGAGACTACGCTAGAGGTGGTTGATATCATATTGGCTTGGGAAGTTGGGATCTACAAAATCACCCTATAGTTGCTCAATTCAAATTACTAGAGAAAAAGGGACAATGATGCGTTAAGTTGATGTGTGCTTCTAACATCATAGAAGCATGTCAGCACAACATGATGCATGAATCTGCATGAACATATTTCTACTGCAACCTATGCAATCAAACACACAAGGCAGCAACAGTTGCATTGATTTGTGATGTTCATGGCGGCAAAACGGAAAGATTCAACTTGAAGAACTTTCTGAAGCTTTCCCTAACCTAATTATATTGCAGCTGAATCTCCTAGGACTTTAGTGAGTCAAAAGTGAAGGGCAATCACAACTCGGTCAAGCAAACAGCAGTGCAGCCGCAGCCCAAGTATTTGTGGCTGAGCCGGCAACAAACATCTTCCAAGAACAGTTGCTTCAAAAAGTAGATGGCACAACCCCCACGACGTCCTTTAGATGGGGTCCATATAAACCACTAAACTAGGGGATTGTGCCATCTACTCTCGACCCACTTTAATTCCGGGACTTGGACATGGATGTGTGTGTGTGTGTGCACGTGCAGTGCCTGCACCTCTGGTTTGATGCGGCTTCCCTGGCTGCTGACATGGAATGTTTCCAGATACAGTATATGTTTGCTGAAGCCCCCTGCATTGGAAAACTTTCACTGATCGCCTTCTGCAAGAGGGGTTGCTCAACCATGTCTGAAGCCCTTCGGCCAGACCGATGTCACCACTTGGAACCTGAACGGAGTTCTGGAAGTGCCTCCCATCACCGGAAGACAAGTCTTCGTCGATTGAAATGGTTGGTCTTTTTCAGATCCTCCCTGTCGCAGCCAACACACGGTTGCATGGTTTTCATGCCTTGGCTTTGGTGCCTTTTCAGATTCGTGGCTTCACTTGGAGGCGGAGCTGAGGACAGGCTTTCCTCTTAACCTCACGTGTGTTCGCGGCACATGCAGGGAAGTGAAACGTTCCAGTGGCTCCCATAGACTCAGAAGGACTGGAATTAGAACGTCGTCGGTTCAAAGTATAGTTACTGTCAAAATCCTTGAAAGATACTGGTTCATACCGAGGCTTAAATTCGTCATCAGGCCTTCCGAGCAGTTTCCAAAACCACTCCTTTACTATCCAATGTGCAGTCTGGTCTGCAACTTCCCAGTGACGCCAAGCCACAGCTCCTCAGGTAGTTCAGACTGCTCTCCAAAGATCTGCTGCTCCATGGCCAGCAATTGTTTGAGAAATCCCGCGTTCGGCCTCGCCATCGGCCGCTTTGACTTCACATAGGCCAAGGAAGAAGCCAGGGAGAGGCCGGACTTCATGAGGTAAGCTAAACCTTGGCTGTGATTGGAAGGCGTGTTCTGACAGCGCCCAACCCGGCCATCTGGGTGACATGAGGAACCCTCAGCCGTAAATAGTACCCAGTTTCTCGCTAGAACATGCAGGGCTAGCGGCTAGCAAATCACAGTTTAAGAGGCCAAACCAGGCCCATTGATCTGTGTGATTTACACTGGCACGGGAGCTGTTTGCCAGTTTTATATGCCGCCCCACAAGCCAACAGTCCTGTGAAAACTCCTGATATCTCCTGATCGCTCTCCTGATCAATATCACATACCCCTCGGTTCAAAACTGCCACTCACCCTGCATCGAGTTTCGTCTTCCATGCCGGAGAAATCCGAGCGCCGTTCCAGCGGAGAAATCCGAGGGACACACGGAGACCGATCGGCTCTTTCCTTCATGGCAGTGGACCAAAACAGCGCCTCCCAAAGACTCGGCCTTCCCGATGATCTCCAAGGCCTTCCAAGGCCAGGGACAAACAAGTCGTTTGGGACCAAGTGCATATGATGCGCGCGTCAGCTTGTTCATGTCATGGATGCGGTATGATGCAATGCACGCATCCCGCGCGCACACTTCTCCTTTCATGCGTGTCCATGGGCATTGGAGGATGAAAGAAACGAGCCGCGCCACAAGCTAGAGCTGTGCACGCTTGCAGCACGGCTGATGCATGCCGACCCTGAGGCACCTTCTCCAGATTTTCGTTGAGATCCTGGCGTTTGGCGGGCTGAGGTTGCTGGGATTGCTCCCGTCAATCCGGAGTGACCAACCAACGCTTGAGTGGCTTGCTGCAGGGTGCCCCCCAAAATATGCACTGGTGATTTTCGATCTAAACAGTATTAATGCGGAATCATGCGGATTATTGCAAACCAAAAACACAAATCCCGATTTTTGCCCCATGAATGTCCATTCATGATTCACCTGCAGGGAGGAGCTGGCTTTGGTCTATTCCTTGGCTGGACATCAGAACCAATTTGGATCTTTCCAGGTCGTATGCCGGGTTGACCACCAGACTGGCGCCGCGGTGGCACCGCACGGCGGGGCGTCCTGGTCTTCCAGATCCATCAGCGGCAGCCGAGACCATTGAAGCTCGCCAAGCTCATCGGCACTTGGTGCGGGCAAGTCATCTGTGCCTGAGACAGGGCCCTTAGAACCCTCCAAAGCCTGGCTTTCCAGAAACATGGATCAAGGCCGAGCCATGAGCTAGGCATTTCAACAGAATTGAAGCAGTAGGTAGAATTGGCAAGCTCAGAATTGATCTAAATGAGAAATTGATCCAAACCTGCCATGGTCGCGCGTCCTTTCCCAATAGGGCGCTCGTGCAGCACCCTGTTTGAAGGAATGCGTCTTCAAGAACACATCTTGCTATGCTCAGAAGGTCACCCGACATCGAGTGACCCCCTACCACGGGAATATACCATTCTTTCTGGATCTTTATGGCATAGATTCTGACATTATATCTATCATATATATCTTCATTCTTCTGGCATCTTTCGGGTTCGGTGGTGCATAGCCCTCGTGGTTGAGGTCCGGTGGCATGGTGCCCACTCCAATCTAAACAGTGGTGCCCACTACGATCTAGCCCTGGTGGTTGGGGTTCGGTGGGGCCCACTGCCATCTTGCCCTCGCGGTTGATGTCCGGTGGTGCCCACTCCACTCCGATCTGGTACTTGTGGAGGAGGAGGAGGAGGCGGAGGTGGGGGCAGCTCTGATAAAATGTTTAACAACCCTCATTAACCCTCACCCACTCCCTCACCCGGCAGGTGGGGTAAAAGAAAAACAACACATACCAAACCGTTCCTGCAAAAATCGCCCACCAGTGCTCCAGCCCTTGAAGCGTTGCCGTTTTGCCCTACCCACGACGTGCAAATCCCTTAAAAAGCATCGTGGTGCAATTCAAGATCTGCGTCGCGCCCAGCTTTCGAAGCAAGTGAAAACATAGACAGGTCGCACCGCCCAGGAACAATGGTGCCTGGCCCCAAGCTTGCCGTGTCCTTTTCTCCACTCTCCAACTTCTCAACCGAGTCCGGGGGCTTGGGCTCGACGTATCTAACTCATCCAAATAGATTTCTGGAACTTGGGGAGGCCAGTACTATTCACAACTTGCTTGGCTTTGCTTTAAAAACTATTCCTCAAAGCACTCAATCAGCTATTTAAGTTCATTGTTGACCTTGGCATGCATTCACCCAGAAGGGGCTTCCCCCAAGGAGGAAAGTGTGGCTCTCTGTTAGGCTCTGTTGGACTACTAACGCGGCCGGCTGGGGTGCCACATCCCAGGAAGTGATCCAGCAATTTCCCCACTTCACTTGCGCCGAACCCGGCAGGAGTGGTGGAGATCTAAGCGGCCAACAAAAATGACAAGCAAAAACAAAGACTGGCTCAGGCTTCGGTTTCGGCCATGGGACATGGAACTGGGGCCCATTTCCCAGAACACACCATCTCAAACACAATCTAGGCGCCTCGAGTATGCTCCCCCGCTAGGATGAACTCAAAGGGAAAAACAACTGCACTTACACATAGGACACCTGAGATCAATGCATATTGTCCACAAAACCACAGGAATCTTGACATACCTTGACAGTCATTACAGCGCACAACATCGACACTCAACTACCGGTTGGATCCAACACTCCCAGCGCAAGGCATGGGAAACCACGGCTGGGCACTGGTGGATCAAGTGGTCCAAAGTGATCGGGTGACAGTCCAGATATTGCGGTTTAGCGAGCATGCTCCAGCCAAGCTGTCAGGCTGTCAGGCTCCAGTGACCAGGTTGTCGGCCTACTACAGTCTCCACCGTCAACCCTCCTACAGTCTCCGTCGCGCGCGACGGTGTGTCCTCGCCTTGGGCCTCAGATCGGCCGGTCGCGACACGGAGCCAGCGATGTGAAGCACCTTGATGCGACTGGTGAGCTGTCGCAGTCGCACCTGAGGGTCTTTGGTTAGAGAGCGGAAACAAGTGAAAAGCCGAGCTCGCGGGGCATTGATTAGATAGGGAAGCAAATGGAACATCGTCGGACTTAGGAAAACGGAGGACGCTTCAATGTAGAATGCTAGCGGCCTAATGATCTCAGAAGAAGTGCACTTTCATTGGTTTGTCTTTATTGTCCTTGCTGCTCAAACACCAGGAGTTTGAGGATGTCAGGCTGCCAACCCAGGGCTTATGAAGGGTGTATATAGTCCGAACTGCAACTGCTCAGGAAACCTCAAGATCTATACCTCTCTTGAACCTACTAACCCTGGATCTGCGATGGACAAACTCTTACCCACTGAGGACTGAGGATACAGTACCTATGGGGGACATGCAGTGAAATCCCAAGCACCAGCGACCTCCAGTGTTCACATGTGTTCACAGCAAATGGAAAACACATCCACACACACAGTCTGCTGGAGATTCCGGCAAAGTTGTATTGTAGACATTCATAATATAAGTATGTGCCCTGGGACTCCAAGACCATTTTTTAAAAGGTCTCTAGGTGACCGGAAATATGATGGTGATGGTTTCTCACCTTTTCCTCCATCATTTGTATCCTCACTGCTAACCCCTTATGAACAGGACAAACAATAAGAACCACCCCAATGTGCATTTTTTTGGCAGCTCAAAGTTATGCGGGTGTGGTCTTTACGCGATTTTGTTAGTTGTGTTTTTGTTAGATTTTGTAATGTTTTGAAAGAGTTTCCACGGTTGCGGTCTAGATATGTTCTTGTGCTCCTGTTTCCCCCAAACAAAACCAACTTTTCTTTTTTAAGACAACCTCTGGATCCGACTCTACCCTTCCTTGCCCAGAAGCATTCTCATTGTTTCAAAGGTAGCACTTTTTGGGCTTCTCCCTCCACATTCTTTATGAAATGGGCTTCTCCCTTCACATTCTTTATGAAATGGAGAGAAGATCATTGTCTTGAAACACAATGTGCCCACCAGGCCCAACAAAAGTTGAGAAACTTGCTTAGTAGTACTGGACCTGGATGACTGATTGGAATTGGGCTTTGCATGGCCTTCTTGACGCCCATACCCATAATAAGCCTCATCCTCATTCTCAGGGTCATAGGGAACCATTCTGCGAGCATTGGGAGTTCACATCCTATCCCACAAGTTCGATTGGACCAATCCCGCTCATCTCCACTGCTCTCACCCAATGGCTCTTCAGGTCTATGCCCCATGAGGGGGGCGAAACAGAAATGCTCGTGGAATTGGACAACCATTTTTT